TTTATATTAGCCTTAGACATAGGTTTTTAACACAGTACTTAGATAATTTTCCATCTTTGTCTCATCACAAGCTAGTTTTACTCCTTTTATCCCTAACCTTACCCTTGCTGTTGCAAGATTTTTCCATTGGTTTAGTGTTGTATCCAGATGATTCTGCTTAACAGAAGGGGTTTTGACTATTCAAGAATTTTAGTCAAGGAGTTTAAATAAGATTAAAGAAAAAGAAAGGAGAATCACAGTGTGGGACTGCACAGAACATCGAAGATGAAAATGTCACACCTGTAAACATTGTTCATTGAAATGTCTTCTGTGCAGGCACACAGTCCCTCACGCCTGCTCTGCTATGAGTTCTCGTCGCTTTTTGTTGTTGTTTGTTTGTTTTCTCTCATGTTGCTACTCATGGTGGCTCAGGCAGAAATGACTGGAATTTGCACCCTCCTCTTTGAACCACATGAACATTTGAGTGGGAAAATGGCTCACAGTGACTATGGAAGGGGGAAGGATGCCTTCTGGTGATTTTTTTTTTTTTTTTGCTTGAAAAGAATATTTCCACAATTGGCCTGCCTTGTAGTGCAATGTGTGCCTGCACAGAATGTGTGCCTGCACAGAAGACAATTCAATGAACAATGGTTATAGGTAAGTGCAACCCCATTTTCCTCCAGAAAAGCTTCAGACAGTCTAAGGAAGCATGGCAAGAGTAATATGATTTCTTTGTGGTTCCTTTCTCTTGTGGTTGTTTAACAAGCCCAAATTCATTTCCAGTGAATCTCCCCATTTTATGTAAGATAGTAACTGGCCCAACGTCACCTAGTGAGCTTCATAGTGGAATTTGTGTTTAAACCCCACTGGCTGTCACACAGAAGCAATAACCTGGAAAGTATCAAACTAATTATTTATTTAATTATTTATTAGATTTATATCCCGCCCTTCCACATGGCAGCAATTTAAACATGTGTTAGTGAATCTCAGACAACATTAGACACATCTTTTATACTTGAGTTTGTACCAGAGTGCAGAACTGACCAGCCTCACTTGGCACTGGAGATGAGAAAAGCCTGAGGGAATTTTAGTAGCTTCCTTCTTGGCAACTGTGAAGTGGCAACTGTTATGAGATGCATAGATATTCATCACAGGTGTTTGGAAGGTAGGATCTTGATCATGACCTACCCAGTTAGTAACAGAAGCTGGAAATGTCAGCAGTTGGAGCTCACCTCCCGGGGCTGAGTTGATGAGGGGCTGGAGCTGTGGTAGGATGGTTGAAACAGAGCTGGCTGAAACGGAATCCTTCTAAGACGGAGGTTTTGTGCCGGGGGCAGGGAGATTCTGGTTTGGGGTGCCAACTCCCAGCTCTTGATGGTGTGCTTTTGAGACCAGCACCAACCATTAGGAGCCTGGGTGTGATTCTGAATGTCTCCTTGGCAATTGAAGCCCAGGTCACAAATATTGCCAGACTGGTGTTCTTCCAACTGCACCAGGTCAGGCAGCTGGTCTCCTACCTGTCTCACAGTAAACTATGCTATGGTCACCTCCAAGCTGGATTACTGTTACTCACTCTACATGGGCCTACCCTTGAGGTTGACCCGGAAACTCCAACTGGGGACTCCATGTGCAGCACACATCCACCCTGTGCTGCGCAAGCTGCACTGGCTTCCAGTGGAGTACTGGATCAAGGTCAAAGTTCTGGTATTGATCTTTAAGGCCCTTAACAGTCTGGGACCTATATATCTTTGGGACCGCATTTCCCAGTATACCCCAGGAGAGCACTGTGCTCAACAGATAAAAAATCTGCTGGTGGTCCCTGGCCAGAGAACTATCCCGTTGTCCTCAACCAGAGCCAAGGCATTTTCCATCCTAGCTCCAACCTTTTGGAACTCTCTGCCAAATAACAGTTGTGCCCTGTGGGACCTGATACAGGGACCTGATACAGTTCCACAGGGCCTGTAAGGCAGAGATACCCTGCCAGGCATTTGGTTGAGGACAGTGATGGTTCCATCTTTTCTGGCACTCCCACCCTCTGCCTCCTTGTGAGGCCTGTGATACCATCAGGAAATTTTAATGTCATCTTTTGGTACTACTGTGTTTTTATTGGTTTTAACTGTTTTCAATAATATTCAGATTATATTATGCTGTACACCGCCCCTCCAGGGGAGGGTGATCTAAAATCAAATACAATAAGTAAACAATAAATTCTGTGCTTCAAGTTCTAGATAAAATTTGTCTCAAATCAACATAACTCCCACCCAGGTCCTCAAAGAACTCTGAACAGGTGAAAAGGAGAGGCTCTGTGTTTGTCCTGTCAGTTCTGCAGTTCTATGTTTATCTCTATGTGCCCTCTACTAGTATTGGTAGATGTCTTGCAGATGCTTCCAGTATACATTTACCAGAGAAGTAGTATGCTGAAGCAACAAAAAAGACAAAAAAATAATATGGTATTGTTGGGACTGGTTTCCCATAGATCCAATAGCTTTTGTAGGTAGCTGCTTGCTTCAGTAGATGCGTGAACTGGCTGAAAATAATAGGTCCCGTCCCCCCAACTTCCTTCTGTTGTGAGAACCTTAGCAGAAAGTCTTTTCTTCGCAAAAGAAGAAGAGAAGAAGAGATTGGATCCCACCCAACTTCCTTCTGTTGTGAGAACCTGCACTCTGGAAAAAGGATACTTGCTTAGCAGAAAGTCTTTTCTTCACAAAAGTAGAAGAAGAAGAGAAGAAGAGATTGGATTTATACCCAGCCCTTTACTACCCAAAGGAGTCTCAGAGCGGCTTACAAACTCCTTTCCCTTCTCCTCCCCACAGCAGACACCCTGTGAGGTAGGTGGGGCTGAGAGAGCTCTGACAGAAACTGCTCTTTTTCAAGAACAGCTGTGCCAGAACTATAGCTTGCCCAAGGTCATCCAGCCAGGTGCAAGTGGAGGAGTGGGGAATCAAACCCGGTTCTCACAGATTAGAGTTTGCACACTTAACCACTACACCAAAGGAGGAGCCAACCCACAGTAGCTCCCCTTCAATGACAACTCCTCAAACACACACACATTTAAAGCGTCAGCTTAGATCATGACAATTGAAATGCTCTGTGACCAACAGATCTCTTTTTCTAATGTGACATGAGCATGAAAGCATTTACAACATTACTTTAAATTCAGTTAGATATATCTAAATTATTTTAAAATCCCCATGTTTCTTACTGTTATGAAATAGGCATCCTGTCAAATTTGTGGAGCTCTATATTCTTTTTACTACCTTTGTATTTCAGTTGTGTACTACCTGCCAATAAGCTTGTAAATAACATCAATTTTGATATTTTCTATGATCAAGGATGTCCCACTTTGAGAAAGGTGTACTCAGCAAAATCTACATGACTTGCACTATGTCAGATTACTATGAAACATGTACCTGTCTCTGTGAGAACTGCCCAGGGACAGTCCCATCATTTCTTGATGGACTGGCTGTTACACCAGTGAAAATAGATCTGGCAAAATGGATGAAGTGACTGAATGAGCAATTCATATAATAGTAGAAATACTGTTACTTTAAAATGATAGACTGTTGAAATTGCTGCTTTGTAATGTGAGGGGGAAAGAGCACTATTTATTTCTGTCCATGAGACTAGGAAAGCCCACACATTCACACATTTTTAATCTTTGGCATATGACTACCAGTGCTGTGAACTGATTGTTCTTCCTTCAGATAAACTAGTAGAACTGCAAACATGAAGTCCTTTTGTCCTTCCAGATCAGTACTGTCTACTTAGACAGGCCACAGCTCTCCAGGGTCTTTCACATCACCTACTCTCTGGTCCTTTTAACTGGAGATTCCAAGGATTGAACCTGGGACCTTCTGCATGCCCAAAAGATCCTCTACCACTGAACTACAGCCCCTCCTTTACTTCCCTGCCTTCCTATTACTAATGCAGTCCAATTCTGTTCCAAGGGGTCAGGGACCCTTACAGAAAGCAGGAAGATGAAGTGTGGGTCAGCAAAAGGGGGAAATGGGCAAAAAAAATCCCTTCCTCTATCAATAGAAGTACCATTCTACTAGTTTAAATGTCATTATGCTGACAAGACAGACGATCCACCCCTGTGAGAATTAGAATTTCTTCTGTGACTAGACGTGTTAAGACCTTGTCCAATCCTATCCCGTTCTACTTCAGTAGAGTAGCAGCCTTCTAACTTTTAAATAGGTTAAGCATCAAATCACGACAGAATGTGGACAGATTGTTGGCTGGGTCATGGCTCCAACAGCTGTAGCAGTACAAGTTACTCTGGTGTGAATTCAACCACACACTCCCAGAGTGCATGGACTTCCCTCCCTCCTCTGTTCTCAGTTCTGAGGTTGACTTTTTTCATTTCCCCCCCTCTGTATGTGTCTGTTATGCTTGAAGACAGTTTCACAGAATTTGGTTGACATAGATCCAACTTTTGCTAGAGCTTGAATTGAATAGGCCACAGTACTGTTGGGGATCCATGGCCTATAGTTTATCTTGACAAAGCAGCAGAGGGAAATAATACAAATCGTGCAGCGGAAGAACGGGTTAATCCTTCTGAGCTGCATCCCTGATAGAAATTGTCCTTTCCTGACAGTTGTTATACGGGGGGGTGGCAGGGAGGCAGACATAACACTGGTAGCTCAGTGTATGTGTACTTTGGCAGTTTGGTGAGATGCATGACTTAAGGCTAGTCTAAAATCCCTGTGTAGCAATGTCTGTGTGTGATACTACATGTGGCACTGGATAGGCAGCGAATAATCAGGAATAATTTTAAGGATACTGGAAGGAAGGAAAATACATAGGAATCTTGTGGCACTAGAAAGATTAAAAGTTTATTTTAGCATAGGAAATTAGAGCCCACTTTGTCAGATGCATGTTGTAGAAGGAAGGAGTCTGGAGTTCAAATTACAAACGTGTTTTTGGTAGTCTTTTCTTTTAAATATTTGTGCAATAAGTAAGAGGGGGGAAATTGAGTGAAGGTGTGTTTATGACATGTACTATTTTAATATAATCTTCAGGTCCAAGTTCTTCGGAATGCTGGAGAAGAGGTGACCTTAACTGTGTCCTTTCTCAAAAGAGCTCCTGCTTTTCTAAAATTGCCCCTCAATGAGGATTGTGCATGTAAGCATTAATAATTATTTCAAATAATTAAGTCATCATTCATGGGAGCCTCAAGGCTAATTCACATTGTTGTTGTATTTTTCAAGCCTGTTTCGGTATGTGCAAGCATGGTTTCCCATCCGTAGACTGAGTTGATGGGATCGCAAACTGGCAGTATGAACAGGTGCTTGTCAACCTGTTCATGTCATTAAATATTTGTGTATATAATTTGGATGAATTATAAAGAAGCTGAAAAAGTGATCCCATCAATGAACCATAACTGGAGTTTTAGTCTGTGGAGCCACAGCTTTTAGCGATAGTGTTTTTCCCCCCACAGATAACATCATTGTCTTGGTTTGATACTTTCCGTAGCACCAAGTCCATATCAGCACTAACTTTTAATCTTGATTTTAGAAATCGTGCTGTGCTTTCAAATGATTATACCTTGCTCTGAATGCTGTTAATTATTTGAGTTAACAACCATTTGCATCAGTTAAGGATCTTGTCCAGAGTATTTGAGTACCATCCTTCAATCAACAAAAAATGGCACAGAGGTGCAGAAGAGGTGTGTTTTTTCCTAACTTGATAACAAAGGCTGCAGAATTATTTTTGAAATAGCTTCAGTTAAATTGGCAGTCAGGTGCTGTAACAGATGAATGTGCATAAGTGGAGACACACTCTGTGGTGATCAGTATTTTGTTTTAATTCAGCCATATGAGTTTATTAGTCTCAGTGGGAAGCAGGAAAATTTGGAAGCCGCTATTTCCCACATGGAATTTTAATACATTTTGGATGTTGAGGCAGAGTTCCATCTAGCTAAGCTATGTCTATTTCTGTGTGTTCAAGTTGCCCTTTTCAGATTATATACTGATTTTGTTTTGTGTGTCTTTTAATCAGGATTAAATAAAGTTATTAATTAGTATGGTGACTAACTGAAAATGCTTGTAGAACAAATTTAGAGTCCAGTGGCACCTTTTAATTAATTTATTATTATTTCTTAATTATATTTATACCTCGCCCATCCTGTGAACAGGCTCAGGGCGGCTAACAAAAGTGGTATAATGTACCTAGTTGGCATAACCATAAAAATTTAAAACTACATAAAATACATACTCATTCATATACATGTAATTAACAAATTAGCAATAAAGTGCTCTCAGTGCTAAAAAATTTGATGGCGTGCTTTCAGATCTAAATCCATGTTGTTCGTTCGATCATCATCCCACGAGCCGATGGGCCTAGCGATACATCTGGGCCAGTCCTAGGATCCAGAAATTCAATAGGATCATTGATGGTAACAGTAGTGGCGGCTTCTATTTAAAGGCCTGGTGGAAGAGCTCCGTCTTACAGGCCCTGCGGAGCTGTAATAGGTCCCGCAGGGCCATGATCTCCTCCGGGAGCTCGTTCCACCAGTAAGGAGCCGCCACAGAAAAGGCTCTGGCCCTGTTACTGGTGAGCCTTGCATCCTTGGGGCCCGGAATAGTCAAGCGATGTTGGGCCCCTGACCATAGTGCTCTCTGGGGTACATATGGGGAAAGGCGGTCCCTCAGGTAGGTCGTTTCCTGGTCATGTAGGGCTTTAAAGGCATGAACTTCTGCATTTATGCACACTTTTTCAAATATTTGAAAAAGTGTGCATGCACACAAAAGCTCATACCTTGAATAAATCTTTGTTGGTCTTAAAGGTGCCATTGAAATCTAAATTTGTTCTACTGGTTCAGACCAACACAGCTGACCACCTGCAACTATGTAGATGATTGTATAAATTTGACTTTGACATTAATTTGAATAATCTAGAACCCACTGAATATCTCCTGATCTAGTCTGTTCACTTTTAGCAGAGTGAACCGGGAACCACTTATGCATTGCTCACTGAATAACTTTTTAAATAATATATTGACTGGGCTTCCTAAATGTAATCAAATTTGTTGATATTTGAAATTGGCTCGTGTAACATTTCTAAATGTGTTGTTCATAATATAAAACCACACAGCCAGTTTGATGTAGTGGTTAAATACATGGACTCAAATCTGGGAGAACCGTGTTTGATTCCCCATTCCTCCACTTGCAGCTGCTGGATGACCTTGGGCAAGCCATAGTTTTGTCAGAGCTGTCCTTGAAAGAGCAGTTCTTGAAAGAGCTCTCTCATCCCCACCTACCTCACAGGGTGTCTGTTGTGGGAAGGGGAAGCCAAAGGAGATTGTAATCCACTCTGAGACTCATGAGTGAAGGGCGGGGTATAAATCCAATCTCTTCTTTTAAAGCCACCCTGAGCCTGCTCTGATGGGGAGGGCAGGGTATAAATCAAATAAAAATAAATAAATGAAAGAATAGTGAATATAATAAAATATTTAGTAAATTCTACTTTTCCCACAAATGCCAGAATATCATGTGTCAGTCAAATCAAAGAATGTCTCCATAATTGCTTCACATTTGCTGAACCAGGCCCTTAAGATGCTTAGTTATCTTGGCTGCAGTAGAATAACTAGGGTTGCCAGGTCCCCCTGGAGTGCGGGGGATCCCCCGATTTCTGGTGCTCCACCCTGGTGCCAGCCAACTGGCTGGTGGGGGAGAGTTACCACCCCAAATGCGATATGCCTATGCAACTCGGAAGTGATGTAGACATGTCAGTGATGTGGGGGGAGGGAACTCTATGGTAGAATAAGCTTCAAACCGTAATTTTGCCCAAAAAACAGAGCATTACCCCCAACTTCACCAACATGCCTATGTCACTTCCAGGTGACGTAGGCACAGTGTGCTTCTTCCCTCCCCTCTCCTGGAGTATCCTGATAAGTCCCCTGTCAGCTTGTCATTTGGACCTGGCAACCCTAAGACTAACAGAGCTACCTTCTGGAATTTGGTATGACATTATCTGTCTACTTCACATTATCCCACCCTTCCTTCACAGAGTTCAGAGTAGCATATATGGGTTCTGCCCTCCTTAAACAGGTTTTCAGGATATTTTGCACATAGTTTTGTTTATCAAAGGTATATAGATGCCCTTCTTTTGGTCTACCAATTTTCATTTTTGTTTTATTTTGATTCACTTTATGGTTGATTCTTTGCAAAGAATACATTTCTGAACAGCTGAAACATGCATTGAGCTCCCATAATGCCATGGGCCTGGCAAGCCTGAGAAATGCTCAGTGAGTTTTACAGCTCTTTACATGACTGCACTGCATGTAAATATTTCAGAAAGATTTAATTTCCCAACAATATGCTAAATCATCTCAAGGAGCATCCCCTGTGTGTAGTTGTGTTCCAACCGTAACAATGTACAAGCAAGTATAAGTTTTAACTATGGACTAGTTGTGGCTCAGTAGACTATGGTATGCATTTATATCTTCATTAGGTATTCCTAGTGATCAGAGTAGTGGTACATCATCACCATTGTGCGACAGTGGATTACATCTTAACTATCATCCCAACAATACGGTAAGAGAATAAAATTATCTAATTATCAATTTAACTTAAGAAAGTTTCCCAGAGAGCTGTGTTGTTTGTAAAGTGTGTAGAATCTAGGAGTGTGCCAACATTGCTGGATGTGAAACCGACTTCATTTGAAAATAAATATTGAAAGTGCCCTTTATCCAGGGGTGGATTGAGGAGATGGAAACGACACTGGAGAAGGGTCTTGCCCAAGCCTGCCTCTGCCCCATCCCCAAAGGAGCAAGGAGAGCATCCTGTGCCTGGCCAAGCTGTGGGAATGGGTGGGCTGAGGTCTGACCTTCCCTTGCCAAGCATTGTAAGTGCATCCATCACCACCAGAAGGCCAGGTGGGCATCATTCCCATCAGCACAAAGCTGTGCCAAGTGGGGGCATCCTTCACTGCAGCGAAGCCATGCAGGGGAGTCCCTATGTGCAGCAAGGGTATGGCCAGGAGGTGTAGTGAAGGATGGGCCATGCATGTCCTTCACTGTGCAGGGCAATAGGAGGCCAGGCCAAGAGAATCCTTTTGTGCATCTCCAGCTCATGGCAGTGGGCAGTTGCACCTGCCCCCCTCTTTGGGCTGGGGTGGCCCTAGAAGAGGATGTTGGGAGGTGAGGCCTGGGCTGGAGTGGCCCCAGTGGGTAGATCTGTTGCCTTAACAGCCTGTCCTCCCCTGCTTTTATCCCAATTATTCCATTGGCCCTAGAAGAGGATGTTGGGAGGTGATGCCTGGGCTGGAGTGGCCCCAGTAGGTAGACCTGTCACCTTAACAGGCAATCCTCCCCTGCTTTTATCCCAATTATTCCACTGCAAAAGTTTAAATCAGCATTTCAGACTGGGCAGTTGTGAGAATATGTTATGGTCACTGGGGGAGGGGTGTTTTGTTTGTTTGTTTGTTTGTTTTTAAATCCAGTATGCCAGCTTTTGAGGTAGTTACAAGTGGAGTTATTTTAAGTAGCTTAAACTTCTCATCCAACTTCCAAATCCATCCCTCGGAATCTATGGTTCTCAAGACCAAACTGTATTTGAATTCTGTGTTGGGAACTTGCTGGGTTTTTTTGTTTTTTTTAATAGTAAAGATCAATTCTGTTCTGTTCTGATTCAGATGTGGATAGTGATACAAAGGGAGGGTCATCAGCTAGGTTTGACCAATGTGCAGTGCATCCAAGGCACAGAGATTATAACTCTGATGTTTCCTGGATGCCTTACATGCACTCATTTTTTTTAAAAAAATGTAGGCTGTGGCCTGCCCCCAGCCTATATGGAATAATTCTGCCACCCAAGTTGTGTGGGGGTAGGAGTCCCCAGTGTGCTTTCAGTGATGCCTTGCTGATTCAGAATTAATCCATTTTAAAATGAATTAATTGTTGACATCTGATAGTCAGTTGTTGTAGCTGTTTTTCTCTGATCATTTTTTAATTAGGTAGGGTATCCATCAATCTGCTGCTACTTTGTCTTGCATTCTAATTCACAGAGTGATACCATACTAAATTTCAATAACACTTCCCCTGTTTAAATCAGCTTGTGTTACTACTCTATCCTTACCTAAACTGTTTAAGATGAAAATTAGATTTTTAAATTAAATATAAACTTTAAAATGAGGAAAAACCTCATCTAAATCTGAAACAATTTGGAAATAAAAGGAGAGTTCTGTGTTTCATAAACATATCAGGGCCAAAACTCACAGAAGACAGTTTTCCTTTTCTTTCTTCTTTTGTTTGTAATGTCACTTAGTAATACATCATGGGTAGTGACAAGCTATATTCAAGGACCCAGAGGCTCAAACAAACACCTGAAAGGTTGCAGCATTATTCTGTACTGGCCTGTCTTCTGAAGAGGCTAGACACATCTGGAAGAAAGATTCAATCAGCAAGATTTTGACACTTCTTGTTGCTGTGAGGGCTAGAAATACTTTAATAGCTTTCCCCAAGAACCTTGTAACTCCCCCTTTCTGTTTTTGGTGTTTGAAGGATCAGAAAATATTGAAAAGAAAATCTTCTTTCAAAGACGGGGATAACTCGCTGTAGGGTTGTGTCTTTTCTTTCCACTGGGTTATCCATTCCCTCACTTACAGTATCAATAGAAGTCGAATTTTCACAGCAGTTCTTGGATAAAACGATCAGCACAATCACAAGCTTCACAAGTGTTTGTTATTGCTGTTTTTAGTGTGAGACAGCTGTGAGCATAAATTAAGTGTTTGTTTTCCATTCTCAACAATAATGGCAGAACCTTCTTGTGCTCATAGGAGGGGAAAGGGCTTCATCAGTAAATCTTTGCAGATATTTCTGTTGGACTAAAATCATGCCACCATATTGAGAAAAGAAATTACCTGTCCTAGAAAATGTAATATGAAACCTTATGGTGGGGATGTACAATTAAATGGCTTACTTCTTAATAGTACCCCTGCTCCACTTTCTGTGGTCACCGGGGATCAGTTTAGCTCTGTCTCCAATGGTGTTCTCAAATGCATTTCGTTTACTTTATTCCATATGAATTACTGTCTTTCATTTACTACTGTGGGCAAAAGTAAAGTGCCGCAGGTCAAAGCAACACTCCAGTGGCGGTAAAACCTGCTTATCATTTGTGACAATGAGTGACCTAGTATGTACCTAAATGGTCCCCTCGGGAGAGTGCAAAGTATGCCAGTTGTGCATAGACAAGAGTGCATTTCCCAAGAATCCCTGCAATATAAAACTGTTCCTTTTAGCACCTGTCTACCTTTACATAATGAGCATTCATTATTCGTATGTATAGAATGCAGTTTGAGGTTTCCATTGCTTTCAACATCTAATGTGTGCAGACACCCTGGGAGGTCCCATGTAACCAAAGTCACGTTCCTTCCAATAACCCATACTTGGGCTGGCAAATTTGAGCTGCCCTGGGGCTGAACCCCTGAAGCTATCATTAACTATCCAGGAGGTTCAGTGCGAAGTAACGGTATTAAAGAAACTGCATATTGCTGAAATAGTTTCCTTTCAAAAAAGAAAGAAATGTATGTTATCATTTGAGCTGTGCTTGTGCTGTAACACATAGGCAAAGGTGTATGGTTCTTTGTGGCCATACAGCTTTATTGCCGAAATGTGTGTTATCATTTGAGCTGTGCTCCTTGTGCTGTAACACATAGGCAAAGTTGTGTGGTTCTTTGTGGCCATACAGCTTTATTGCTCTCTCCCAATTTCCTTAAATGTATTTGCTTGCAATATCATTTTTTTGTTATACATCTCTAACAGTATTTTTTTTTTTGCAAGAATAACATTTGTCAGCCATTCTGCTAAGCTAGATTTCAGTAAAGCATTTGAC